CATCCGTTAGCCTAGCAACACACCGCCCCGGGCGAGTGGGCGAGGCCGGCCCTCCCCGCCCCCGCGTGGCGCAGTGGTGACGCTAGACTGGGTCCCCGCCTCGTCACGAACTAGTGACGCAGCGCGGACACCGCCCGCGCTTCGGTCCCGAGTGATGGGGGCGGGGGTAGAGGGAATGGTTACATTACACGCGTGGCGTCAGGGCTCCCGCTCAACACCACACATGACGTTACGCAAACCTCTCCCTAGCGCAGTGTGACGTCACACCGAGCCTTCCCTCCTATCCAGCCCCGTGCGGGATTTTTGAGCGGCAGGTCAGCGCTCCACAGGAATAACTCCGACGCCATTTTTTTCAGTAAAAATCCGTGACAGTAAAATACCAGTTAAAAATGCCTAAATGGTCATGTGAAGGAAAAAACGGGCAGTCCTAACATGTAGAGTTGCTATCACCGGTCAAATAATGTGTCAGGTATGCAAATTAGTCTCACGATCTAAGCACACCAAATTAATTATGCAAGAATTTCTGTTAAAACACTCCAGTATGAAGACTGCACTGCACCGACAAAAAGATGCTGACCAAAGACCAGCAGCCTTAGTTTAAGCTGTTCTGAGGTTTTCACGGCCACAAAATCCTAATATAACACATTTAGGACACAGAATGCAAAAAAGCACAGAAAAGTGCAGAAAAAGGATTTTACCAATCTAGAAAAGCATATGAATTTTGAATTCTTTAACAGTATGAAAACTTCCTTTGGGTTTCAGTTAAAGTAGGAAACACTCCTGATTTTGTACCGTCCCACAGCAAACCACAGAATAAGCTAATGCTGCAACATTGCTATATTATTATGACATCACTTTACTACACTATAAATGCAGGCTTCATGGTACATCAGAGAACTGGCAACACAGTTTTTGAATTAACCTGTGCTGTTAGGCAGAAGTTCAGTCCCTCTTTTTTTTTTCTAATAGGAAAAAAAACACCAATATCAGTATTTGAGGGAAAAAAACGACCTCAATGTCTCAAATTTTAATCATTTGATAGTCTAGAAATTACATTTCTTCAGTTACCAATAATTCAAATGTAGTGGAACTAGCTCTTTGCATTTGAAGTATTTTAATTTCTGAAACAAAAAAACCTGTAAAGATCCTCCTTGACAGCATAAGCAAACCATGTCATTTGCTCGAGTATTATAGTTTTGTGGCTACTGTGAAATTTAGGGAACTTTAGTATCTCAAAGTATCATTAAAAACTGCAGATAAGAAGGATCCAGGGGTGGCTTGTATTGACATCATGCCTAGGTTACTAGTTAAACCTGTTATACGAGCACATTTCTTTCAAGCACAGATTATCCAGCTGCTTAAAGGCTTCGTTCGGTATGGCCACAGAATCCAGGAGGCAGATTTATCACCCCAAACCTGCTTCAAATCGGTCTGCAGAGGAACCAGTCCCAGGACACAAGCGTGGGGGAGCGGAAAAAAGTGTATTGCTACCTGTGGACACATGCAATTACTACCTGTCGTTACAGGCCAAAAATGTTGGCCAAGCCCAACACATGGCCACACCTGCATGGATAAAAAAAAATGGAAGGAGCTACTTAAAAACATATGCTTTCATGTTATTTATGTTTTGTAAAGTAAGGGTAGTTCTGCTACTGTTGCAGACAACCGTGTTTCTACAACGGCTATGGTGCATCAAGAAAATCACTGTGTTGGTTTCTGAGTTTGTACCTCTTCTGGAAAATCTGCACTGCAAACAGATCAGATCTATAAGAAACTGTACTTTCTTTGTATTTACCTGACTATCACCAAGATTGCCAAACAAGTCAAACAATCTTACTAGCTCAGTTGCAGTCTAGCTCCACAGAACCTGTGCAAAAGAAGCAATTTTATTATGTTCTGCTAGACAAAAAGAGTAGTTCTAATTTATTATTCAGAAACCTGAATGTGTGCATGTTCATATGCTGCTAGCACCCAGAGAACCAGTCACAACTGGCATCTGTCATTAGTTCAGACAGTATTCAAGCATAAAATGGTTTGTATGTGAAACAGTATCAGTATGATTAAAGTAAGATGAAAAGCGAAAGCATTATATAAACAAATGTTGTAGCTCTGGTGCAGACTTCTAGGTCTGCTACAGGTATATAAGTAGTTCGAAAGAATAACATAAAGGTAACTTTGTATGTACAGATCATAAAATCAGAGTCAATTGCCTAATGCAGAAGTTCAGCAATATTTCAACAGCATCTCTTTTCTGATCTCCCCTTCTATATACTCCTGTTGCAGCCACACCTGCTCCTTTTAATCTTCTCACCTTGCTAAAGTTGTGCAAGTCTTGAGCAGCCTGTCAACCAATCGGCATTCATTTAGATGTTTTTTCTGTAGCCTGACATATGGGCAGAAACATAGACAATGAAATCATAAGACTCACTTTTTTCCTGATGCTAGTTTCTGCATTAAAAACAAAAATAAATCAAAATCTTAAAGCACAGCATATATTTTACTTCAGTGAATTTTAATACCCTTCTGCAATCAGTACAATTGAGTTAAATAACTTCCACCTCCTCAGAGCCTTCTTTTCCCATTAATCACAAAATTGAGAAGATCAAAATTCTTAAGATTTAGCAGATATCGTTATGACAGTTACCAGTTGGCAGACTAAGTCAAACTACTATAAAGACAAGTCAGTGAAGTTATTAATAACCTATCTTCCTACTAAAAGAACTTTTTTCAAAATAGTATGACTAGAAAGTGAAATTAAACTCTTCTTTCTAAAAATTAGTAAGATTTAAAGATTCTAACAAACATCCTGGTACTGTCTTCCCAACATGTTCTGAGCAGGAAAACAGAAGTCTATTTGAACAGATATGCTACAAAAACTTTTGGGTTTATGTATTAATTTATTTAAAGACCATTCCTCTGACTGAAATCTTCCACTGACAGGAGAGGCTGCAGTCCGTTAATTGAAACTAACAACAGTAAATTAACTGCCTCCATGAACACACACTGTAAGTAGAACTGTGCGCTTGATTACCACCCCCGCACCCCTTTTCCCTCTCTGTATTTTATATTTCAGGATTATTTGCTATTTTTATTTCAGCAACAGATGTCATTTCCAAACATAATTCTCTTCAACGTGCTGGTATATAGGGAAATGTCTCAAGAACGTGTTCCGTTTTAAACCTGGGAAACTTGAAGCTAGGTTTACTATTTGCCCTTTAGCTACTCTTTCCTTTTCCTCTGCACTTGATGATCTAACAATCTAGTGAAAATGATTCTTCGTACCATCTCCCAATACCTGAGCCCAACCACTTAAATTCTGGCTGCCATTATCAACAACAGGCATCTAGAGATTACTTTAAAATCCAAGGTTCCAGCATAATATGCATCTTTGCAGCCACTCTACCTCAATAAAACTGTGCTCACTTCATTTTTTTTTTGTCAGAGTTTTTTTGTGGTGAATAGAATTCTAAGAACTCAAGGCCAGCAAATGTAATTAAAGTATGAATACTGAAAGCTTTGCTAACACATAATGGGTGTTGAAGATCTCTGTAGAAACAGTCAAACTGAAACTACTGATCAATTAAGCAAAGGTGTGTGCCGTGCTTTCACTAACACTTTTGAGTACCTTTACAATAAAAAAAAAAACTAGTTTAATGATCAAGACAAGCTTTAGTCATTTTGTCCATTGCTCTAACCTTCAGAAGCTCAACATGTTATACATATCTATTACAAGGAAAAAAGTTTTAATTATCTTTGCTTCATTAAAAAAACAAACAGTATTTCTATACAGAATTCTCAAACACCAATATGAAGAAAATACTAAATACTTTGAACAGTCTTAATGTTTTTATGGCTTTTGATAGACCAGAGCTCTCAAATTTTCTGGGCAGAGGCACAATTTACCACCTGAAAGGCAGCATAAAGAGCTAACTCCACGACCTTAGCTAACCAACACAAATAAGCAAGAAATGTCACTTTTTCTTTGCCACTCAAATGATATTAAACTTCCCCCAATCCAATGTTTTCCTACGGCGCTAAAAGGCAGTATAGGTATTTTGACATTCACATAAGACCAAAAAAGAACAGAAATAAGTTGAGATGCTGATGGCAGTTGATAGACTACTGATAGGCGGTTTAACAAGCTACAACACAAAATGGCTAGGAGTGATGCAAAGTTATTTTACTAGTTAATAGCCATGGAAAGCGCCTGACTGCAGTATACCCTTTATACTAATGTTCTTTTAATAAACAAAAGAGAACTGGTTATAACTACTGCTGAAGCCTCCCTGCTCCTTGTAAACTGTATTTCTCCCTCCTTTCTCGCAAGTTCCTTTTTTGTCTTTACGACAGAAGCCCTACTTCTTATGAAAAGCACGCAACTTCTAACTATTCTATTGTCACCTAAACCTCCTGCAATTCTCCCTCCTTTCAGAGGAAAACAATGCACTATTATTTTATGGTCCTTAGCACCCAGTTTTGGAGGACATCTTACAGAAATCTTTCTTCCCTTTGCACATCTATAGAAGAGGCCTCTTGTCAAGCTAATATTCCAATGAAGACCGGATGTTGATCTCCAAATTTCACCAACAGTTTTTCTCCTTAACAAGAATAGTCCAGGAGTCCCCAGTCTTTTCTTTTGTTTGTTTGCTGTGTTATAAATGACCCAATCCTCCTCGTCTCAAGATCTTAGAGCTGCTGCCAGGTGGTTGGGTAGTCACTAATGTACAGCCTTAGATGAGTCAAAAATAAATACTTCAAATTTGAGCAACCATTTCTCCATCCCTTCCCCAGTCAGTAGCAGCAATAACTGGTACAGACCCATCAGTGTTCCACTACAATACAGATTTTCAAGATAAGTTTTATCAATAAAGCACAGTTCAGCTGCTTTGTTGATCGAAGTGCATTAGAGTTCCTGTTTCTCTCCACTAACCACAGTGGAGTCAGACGCAACAGGAACTTTATTAATTCCAGCAAAAACAGAATCAAAAGCAGCTTCCTGCTCCTCTAAAGTCACAGTAGCAATGGATCCTCTAACAGATGTGCTGGTAAAGGCTGGCCGTTGCTCTGTAATCCCTTCCAGGTCCACTGTTTTCCTACCTCTTCTTTTGCCCAGGATTTTGATGTAATTAGCTGGCACAAGTCCTGTTGTTCGGCCGTCATAACTAGCCAAAAGCCAACCACGGATTTTGGGTTGTTGTTCTGTAGAAGAAAATTCAAATGCATCAAGTTACAAAACAATTCAAAATATATTGCAGTTGAGGCACAAATACACCAGAAGGTAGATGACAACAGCTCACCATGCAGAGAAAATAACTGTGTGTAAAAGATGAATAGAAATTATGTCACAAAATAAACGACTAGGAACTGCATTGGTGAGGTGAGCTGAGCTGAAGACTACTGTGAAGTGCAAGATGTTCTGAAATCGAAGACACCACCGTACTGCAGATGCCTAGGGATTTTCACAATTCTGCGGCACATGTGAGAAAAAGATAACCACACGGGTAACCACAAAGCACTCCCTGAGTAAGTTTACGCTGTATCGTATCTTAGTGAAATTGAACAAAACTACTCAGTAAGTTTTACTACAATGCAAGTAATAACTTACAGGCAAAAAAAAAAAAAAAATTGGTGTGGATGAAGAGTTTGGTCAAATAAGGTGGGGTTTTTTTGTTTTCATTTTCAGATTCTAACAACATTACTTACTTCACATGTGATTAGCAAATAAATAAAAAATTAGAAGTTTACCTTTGGGTGCTAATTTCAGCATGTCACCAGCACGGAAAGAAATTTCTTCTTCTGAGAGAGCACTGAAGTCATATTCTGCTCTTCCAACTACATGATCATCTTCTCCACTCACCCAGTTACTAGACACTGTTTCCACAAAGAAATTAAAAGTTTATCTGCTTTGAATTATGAAGTTTGGTGGCGTAGAGCGTTGGAAAAAAGGAAAATGAAGAAAACACTAACTTCCTTGCTAAAACTTTTCCAATAGAGAACTGCCAGGAGTAACAAACAAAGCATGATTTGCTGAGTCAATCCAACCAATACTTTCTCCCCGCCCAAACTGCCACATCTAATAGACAGGAAACCGAAACAGAAAGGAGCCATGATTTTGGAATCACACACTTACCATGAAACTGCATCCTAACTCAGCAACTGGATACTTAAACAGGCTGTTACTTGTATCACGTGCCTAAAATCCAGTATTGTGCCCCAGCATCTATTAACTTCTATTACTGTAGTATACGATTAATTGCTATCCATGTGATAACAAAATGAACAATATATGCTGCACTTCTCTCGTGCTGCAGAGCATCTTTACCTGTTTCTTCGTCACTGTATGTAGAAAGCATTTTCCAAATCAGATAAGGACCTCCCACTATAACAGCAAAGAATAAGAAAATAGGCCAGGATTTTGCAGAGTTAGCCACCTTATCTTCAAGGCCAACGTGAGCTACTGTCCCCTCACTTTCAGCCCACAAATCTTCATTCTCAGAGCTCTTCTGCAGACCCAGTAATCGTTGCAGTCGTTGGTATAGGTATCTTATAGTTCTCACTAAAGCAAAAGCTGAAAACACCTTTGTGAAGTGTACTTTGAGGCGGGAGAAGTGATTGGCTACATCCAACACAGCTCTGAAACTGTTGTACACAGCTGAAAAAGTAGCATCCATCATCATGCTGACTGAGGCAAACGCATGCACAATACTTTCAATGGACTGAAATGCACCTCTGCTGCTCTCTTCAGCCTGCTGAACAAACCTGCTGGGGGGAATGTCATCTGTACGAAAGCGGTTATAACCCAAACCACCATATCCGTAACTGTAAGGACTATAGCTTCCATAAAAAGAGGTTCCATATGAACCATAGCCTGGAGAAAAAGAACTACTATATGCTGGCCTGAAAGTGCTCAGACTGCTGCTTCCGGTTTGCTGAGATGGTCTTGGCAAAATAGGTGGAGGTATTCGTGCAACTGTGGGTTGTCCAGGCCTGGTCAGCAGGTTGCCACCCAAGTCAGCAGACCTAAACAAATTCAGACAAGAAAGATCAGCACTCAAAATAAGCTTGTAATTTCATTTCCCCAGAGTTAATGGCTAACCGTATAAATAGGACAGTGTGTTTCAGTAGCGCCAGGATGGGGAACCTGGTAGCCCAACACTCAGTACATTGCACAATGTTTGTGCAAAGTAAAAAATCTAGTCAGGAAATACAGGTCTTTCAGGGAAAAAAAAAAACTCAAAACATGATGTATTTAGTGTAAATATGGAACCGCAGCATATCTGAAATGTACACATGGAAAAACTTTCTGTCTATTTATTGTATTGACTAACAAAGCATGAAATGCTACATCTAGATGCATCAAACCTGATGCTGTAACACCTGGGTCATTCTGCTGCACACAAAGGCCTCTCATATGCACTATCAGTAATATTTATGAACTTTGCAATATGAAAGATTTATTTCCAATACTTGTTTTCAGCTCTTCTATACAATGAACCAATGGTACAACAGGAAGGAAGTCTGAGAGCTCCTTTGAATCCGCCCTTAGAGAAAAGGGTGGTGTGACCTAATTGAGAATCCAAGGAATTATACAACAACATATGCAAGGGTTCTGGGTCCCCCAATCTCCCACTCTCCCCAAACTATCTAACTACCTTTATGTAGCACGCTTAGGGATAGGCTCTATTACTGTTAATAGCTGGCAGAAAGAGGTATTACGAGTCAATTATTTGTTTTTAATTTAGAGAACTTCTATTCCTTCACATGCCCAAAAGTTTAGGTCATTTTATCTATGCCCTTTGAAATGAGACTCTGCAAGTACCAGACTGGTATTTGAGTACTGTCAAGCAGCTGTCCAACTTTTGCAGTTTCATTAAAAGCTAATCACATATCATCCTAAAAGTCACACATTTTGATCATTTCCTATATTTACTGCCTCATCCCATTACTTCCCACTTCGGCAGTCCATTAAATTCACACAAAAAAATAGAAGAACAACAGTCAAGTTTGAATTGCTATGGAGCTGCTTCTTTCTGCCCTACTTTCAATGTGAAGCATGCTTGCTATATTATTTCTGTATAAGGTAGGGAACAACTTCGTCTCAGCAAAACTTACAGGTTTCCACAGCAAAGAACAATATTTATCTTTACTCTGTTTGGTTTTCCCATCATAGACTTTAACTCTCTTAGGAGTTAAAAACAGAAGCAAAAACTAAGCTATTATCACAGAAAACAGAGGTACTGTAACTTACTCAGTCATACGGCACCTCTCCGCGATACGCTTTTAAAGCTGCTTGAAGCAATTGACAATGAGCTAGATAACGCCACCAGGAAAACTTAACATCAAATTTCTTGCTCAGCAAGCTTCAGCTTGCAGTGAAAGCAGAAAAGTTTCTGTTGAACGTTTAGTCTTGGGCTAATCTTTTGCTCAGTTTCAGCTTACTCAACTTGCAGTCGCGAGCACCAAATGAAAACCAAGACTGATCTTCAGCTGCCAAGCTTTCCTTCATTTCTAATAGAAACAAAGGAGCTTACAAACACTGTCTCGGTGAGCAGATTGGATTTTCTGGAAAAGCTCAGATTCCCGGGTGAGCACACCTGAGAGACTGATGCATGAATCTTTTCCAGTTCCTGCGGACACCACCACACCGCTTCTCCCGTTCTGCGGAGGCACACACACACAGCTATATAATCCCCAGGAAAGGATACCCCACACTCTCTCCACTCTTAGCAACAAGTACAGCTTTACCTTCACAATATTAAATATGTAACTTTCTACAGACACAGGTAGGGTTTTTGAGGGCAGTAGCTTTCGGGAGCCTCCCACCCCCTTCTCCTCACCGAGAAGGGGAATCCACCAGAGACACCTCCCAGCACACGACCCCTCAACAAAGCAGGGCACAACGGCCCAAAACCACCCCAGCAGGCAACCCATGCCCCCGGGTGACCTAAACCGACAAACCCCCTG